GTACAGATTTATTTGTTTTTCTGGCAGATCATGGTATTTCTAATATTCTCCTCCAACACCATAACTCAAATGTATCAATTTGTCTACAGTCTTGTCTCACATGCACATGAAGCTATTGAAAATGCCATGGTTTGAGTGAGATGCACTGTGTTAGGCCTGGCTTTCTAAAGAAGAAAACCCAGTGAAACATATATATGTATATATGTATGCTGCTGGTAAGTGCCGTTGAGTCGATTCCAACCCATGTTGTTGTTGCTGTTGTTGTTATGAGCCATTGAGTTGGTTCTAACCCATCGTAACCCTGTATAGAGTTTCCAAGGAGCACCTTGTGAGCTTGAACCATCTACCTTGTGGTTCAGAGCAGCTCTGAAGTACAGTGCATTAGCCCACTGCACCACATAAGGACTGTTGTTGGTAAGTGCCGTCGAGTTGATTCTAACCCTGTATTTCCAAGGAGCAGCTGGTGAGCTTGAACCGCCAACCTTGCAGCTCAAACAGCTTTGCAGTCTGGCACATTAACCCACAGTGCCACATCAAGACTCCTACATAAGGACTAGAGAGAAGTTTATTACCAAGGGAACAGCTTATGATTGCAGAGTCCCAATTCCCCAGCAGAATAGAGAGAGAGTCTTTCACTCATATCCATTATATTGGGAGCAGGCCACACAGCCAAGGAAACATCCCTTTCAATGGTTGGCTACTCGTGGCCATTCATTCTAGAGTTAACTATGTGTGGATTAGGTCTCATTACCATAGGGATAAGCACATCTCAGCTGCTATACCTCTGGAAATCCTGGTTTAGACGTAGAAGCCTAACCATTATACAGACTTTATTCCTCAAACTGATATCTCTGTGCTTGAAAACTTTAAAGAGGTCTTGTATAGCAGATTTGCGTAATGCAACCTGTCATTTGATTTATTGACTGCTACTTCCTTGAGTGTTGATGGTGGATCCAAGCAAAATGAGGCCTTTGACAGCTTCAGTCTGTTCTCCATTTATCTTGATGTTATTTATTGGTTCAGTCTTGAGTAATTTTTTTTTTTTTTTTTTTTTTTTACTCTGAGATATAACTCATACCAAAGACTGTGGTCTTTGATCATTATCAGTAAGCATTTTAAATCCTATTTGCTTTCAGTAAGGCAAGGTTGTATCATCTGCATATTGCAGGTTGTTAATAAGGTTTCCTATAATCCTGATGCCACATTATTATTCATATAATCCAGTTTCTCAGATTATTTGCTGAACATACAGATTGAATGGTGGTGGCATGCTGTAGAGTCAGTTTCGACTCATAGCAACCCTGCATAGGGTTTCCCAGGCTGTAAATCTGTAAGGAAGCAGAAATCCTCATCTTTCTCCCATGGAAGAGCTGGTAGTTTCAAACTGGTGACCTTGAGGTTAGCAGCCCGACTTGTAACCACTAAACTACCACAGTGTATTCAGTCATACAAATTGAATAAGTATGGTGAAAGAATACAACCCTGGCACTCATCTTTCCTGATCTTAAAACATTCAATGTCTCCTTGTTCTGCTTGAATACCTGCTTCTTGGTCTATGTACTGGTTTCTCATGAGCATAATTAAGTGTTCTGGAATACTTATTCTAGGCAATGGTGTGCATAACTGGTCACGATCCACACAATTGAGATTCTCTGTGTAGCCAATAAAGCACAGGTAAGCATTTTTCTGGTATTCTCTACTTCCAGACAAGATCCATCGTACATCAGCAATGATATCCTTTGTTCCATGTCCCCATATGAATCTGGCACGGACCTATGGCAGCTCCCTGTCAATGTAGTGCCATAGCTGTTTTTTGAATTGTGTTTAGCAAAATTTAACTTAAATGAGGTATTTATGATACTGTCCAATGGTTTCTGCATCCCGTTGGGTCACCTGTCTTTGGAATGGGCACAAATACGGATCTCTTCCAATCAGTCGGCCAGGTAGCTGTGTTCCACACTTGTTGGCGTAGATGAGGGAGGGCCTCCAGTGCTGCCTCAGTTTGTTGAAAGACTTCAATTTTTATTTGTTCCATCAATTCCTGAAGCCTTGTTCTTTGCCAGTATCATCAGTGCACCTAGGACTTCTTCCTTCAGTATCATTGACTCTTTTTTTTTTTTTTTTTTTCTTTTTTTAAAGGTTTATTGTGGATTGAGTGAAAGTTTACAGGGCAGATCATCAGTTTTACATTCAACAAATCATACAACTTATTTCATTATAATGATTATAATCCCCTCCATGTACCATCAGTTACTGTATCATTGACTCTTGATCATATGCTACCTCTTGAAATAATTGAACATCAACCATTTCTTTTTGTATTGCTTTCATCTTATTTTGATACTTTCTACATCATTCACTATTTTGTCCATGGTGGTGGTGGTGGCGGCTATGTGCTGTGGAGTTGGTTACGATTCATAGCATTCCATTTAATTTTTAACAACTGCCAATTTTCCTAGATTCATACTTTGTATATTCCATGTTCTGATGGATATTACAGCTGTTCTCTTCATTTTGGGTTGTGCCACATCGGAAAATGAAGGTACCGAAGGCTTTATTCAATCCTCATCTTCTTGGTCAACTCTACTTTGAAGAGGCAGCTCTTCCCCAGTCGTATTTTGAGTGTCTTCCAACCTGAGGGGATCTTTTTCCAGTACTATATCTGACAATATTCTGGTTCCTTTCATCATGTTTCAATATTCAGTCTTCTAGTGCTGACAGGGTTCTGCTGCTTTTCATAAGGTTTTCAGGGACTTAATATTCAGAAGTAGTCCGTCTGTCATTCTTCCTAGACTGGCTTAGTCTCCAGACTAAGTTTGAAACCTGTCCACCATGAGTGACCCTACTAGTATTTAAAATGCCAGTTGCTATGGAAGCAGTTGTCAAGGACATACCATAAGTCCTAAAATGGTGTCGAGTCAGATCCTGGAGTGCCTGCTTCTCAAAGCTGACTCCACACCCATAGTTTTCCAAAGGATCCCAATGGCTAAGGCAAAACACTCGCTAAGCTGCTCACTAAGCTATTGTTTGACCTGAAGGTGACTCCAGGGAACAAGTTTCTCCAAGATTCTAAAGACCCCAAGGGTAGATGGCTTGTGTGACTCACCCCAATTTGATGAACTCAGAAATCTGTATTCCAGGAGAATCAAAATGATTTTGACAGGTCTGAGAGACTTCCAGATGCAGCATCCCCAGGTTGCACAAACAATTAGTTATATTTGTCTAGGCTCAATGCCAGATCTCCAGAGGGCTCTGGAGATAAATAGGGAGTAAGTTCAGTCCAGGTATAAGATGATCTGATCTTATATAGATACCCAGGGGCCACTTGCATGGACTTGCTTTAATTTTCTTCAGCATCAGCCAAACTTGCATATGAGCAATTGATGATTTCTTTCATAGTCTACCCCTGATCTTGTTTTGGCTGATGATATGGAGCTTTTCCACGGTTTCTTTCCACAGATGTAGGCAATTTGATTTCTATGTATCCCATCTGGTGTGGTCCACATTTATGTTGTTTAAAAATATATTTGCCATAAGAAGTCATTGGTCCTGCAGAATTCTATCATGCGATCTCCAGCATCATTTCTATCACTAAGGCCATATTTCCTAACTACTGATTCCTTGTTTCCAACCTTTGTATTCCTATCACCAGTAATTATCAGTACATGGAAGAGGTCCATATTTGTTCCCATTCCAGAGAAAGGTGACCTAAAAGAATTACATGTAAGTAAAATTTTTCTAAAGATAATTAAAAAACAGCTGTATCATTACATTGACAGGGAACTGCCAGAGGTTCAAGCCAGATTCGGAAGAGGACGTAGAACAAGGGATATCATTGCTCATGTCAGGTGGATCTTGATTGAAAGCAGAGAATATCAGAAAGATACCTATACTGTATTGACTATGCAAAGTCTTTTGATTGTGTGGATCATGACAAGCTATGGGCAATGTTGTAGAGATTGCATATGCAGGAACACTTCATTGTGCTCATGAGGAACCTATACATAGACCAAGAGGCAATTATTAGAAAAGAACAATGGTTTAAAATCAGGAGAGGTGTGCTTCATGGTTGTATTCTTTCATCATACTTATTCAATCTGTGTGCTGAGCAAATAAACTGAGAAGTTGGACTATCTGAAGAAGATAATGGTATCAGGATTGGATGAAGACTCTAATGATACAACCTTGCTTGCTAAAAGCGAAGAGGTCTTAAATACTTCCTGATGAAGTTCTAAGACCAAAACTTTCAACATGAATTGCACTTCAATGTAAAGAAAACAAAAATCTTCATCACTGAGCAATAAATAACATCATGATAAATGGAGAAAAGATTAAAGTTTTCAAAGACTTCATCTTACTTGGATCCTCCAGATCAACATTCATGGAAACAGTAGTCAGTAAATTTAACGACACATTGCATTAGACAAATCAGCTGCACAAGACCTCTTTAAAGTGTTGAACAATGAACATGTCAGTTTCAGTTCTAAACTGTGCCTAGCCCAAGCCATGGTATATTCAACAGCTTCAGTTGCATGTGAACGTTGGACAATGAATTAGGAAGACCATAGAAGAATTGATGCATTTGAGTTATGGTGTTGGAGGAGAATTTTAAAGGTTCCATGGAGTGTCAGAAGAACAAACCAATCTAAGTTGGAAGAAGTACAACCAGAATGCTCCTTAGAAAGCAAGATCACCAGACTTCACCTCTCATACTTCTGAGAAGAACATCTAAAGTAGAGAGTCAGCAAAAAAGAGGGAGCCCCCCAATTAAATGTATTGTCACAGTGGCAGCAGCAGTGGTCTCAAGCATAGTAGCATTTGTGAGGAGGGAGCAAGTCCAGGCAGTGTTTTGTTCTGTTGTACATAGGGTTGCTATAGAATGGAAATGACTCAACTGCACCTAACAACAACAACAACAGGGGTCAGTCACAAAATGTTTCTGTTACCTTTACCCTTTGGAGCAATGCATTTGGCTTTACTGGGACCTTTTTCTTTTACAGCTCAGGGGAGACTGTCACCAGTGTGACTAACTTGGTCCCAGTGCAGCCCAAGAAGGGCAAGCGGAGGAAGGAGAAGGCTGATGTTCCTCCAGCAATTCCAGCTAAAGGTAAGGCAGGCAGATGGCCAATAATTTCCCACAGGGAGGCCACCATAATTGATTTGGGGGTGTCCAGGTCTTGATATGCGACAGGCTGGGGCAATCGATAGAGGAAAGATACGGCATATGGTAATTAGAGAGTCTGAGACCCTTACCTTGATTCTGAGCATGCGCTCAGTCGTCTCTGCTCTTCAGCCCCGTCCCTGGGTGTGACTATTAGCCTAGCAAGACTTCAGCTGTGGAAGGGAACGACATTCACAGATTAAATCTACATGGTATTCTCTTTGGACTCTTAAAATACATTTCATTGTGGGAAGAGGGCAGGAATATCAGTATCATCTTGGTTTTTCAAGCAAAGGGAAGAGGGCTCTCTGGTTTTGTAAAGATGCAAACTTGGGATGCAGTTTGCCTCAGATTTATTTTGGGGTGAAAATGAGGTTACTCTGTGCTTCCAGGAATCTTTCAGAGTAACCTAAATGAGGAAGATGAGAGTTTCTGGAGGAAAAAACTGCTCGAGAACAAGGCTTGCCCACAATAGTGACCAATTTCGGAGCAGTCCTTGCCTCACACAATTTGAAATATAGTTCAGAGTTCAAGGATTTCCCAGATGAAGAATTTAATAACAAGATACAATTAATGTCATCCCTGAGTTGTGGCTTCATGGGAAGGGGCCCATGGAGGTGTTTGGTGGTAAAGGCTGGCACGTGCTGTAGGAAAGAAGGAGCTAGAATGCATGGATGTGCTAGGGAGGCAAGGAAAGTTCAGGCCCAGGGAGAGAAGGGAACAGAGCCAGCATTATATAGCTCTATTGGATTCCTGATGTGGTGCTGTAGGATAAGCACCTGACTGCTAACCACAAGACAACAGTTCAAACCCACCAGTTGCTCCTTGGAAACCCTACACCGGGTTGCTGTGAGTGGGAATTAACTGCAAGGCACTTAACAACATTGTCTCTTTACACTGCTCCATTGTCTTATTCAGTCCAGAGTAGATGTTACTACCCTGTCTTATAAGATGGACTCTGGGTGTGGTGCTGTAGGATCAGCACTAGACTGTGAACCACAAGGCTGGCTACTCAAACCCACTGGCTGCTCCTTGGAAACCCAATGCAGGGTCGCTATGAGTCAGAACTGACTTGATGACACTTACCAACAACGATATCTTATAAAAGGAGTCCTGTAGGATATTACTACCCTCTTAAAATGGACTTCTGGTGTGGCACCGTATGATAAACCCTGAACTGGTAACCACAATGTCAGTGGTTCAAAGCCACCAGCTGCTCCTCGGAAACCATATACAGGATTGCTATGAGTCAGAACTGACTCGACAGCACTTATCAACAATCTTATGAAAGTTGGAAATGAGACCGAGAGACTTAAGTACTGGAACCTGCTTTGAAGTGAGGTTGCCTGACTTTCAAGGTCAAGTTGAAGCTCCAGCTCATCTAAGTATAACTAAACTAGTATAGCTAATATGACCTTATAGGAAGAGCCTCTGTTTGCTCCTTTGTTAAAGGGGTACAGTAGAATCCTCCCTGACTACCTCAGAGTGCTACAGTGAGGATGAAAGGGCACTGTGACTGATAACATTAGGGTGCAGGCAGGAAGGATCCACTCAGGAAAGACCTACCTCAGCTCCTCCCCAGGCCGGACCTCTTTGTATCTGGCAGTAGTTTTGCAAAGCTGTTCTGTTGACCTTGCTGAAGGGAGATGGTGACACACCAAGACTAGAGGAGGACTACTTTCCTGAGGGCTCCCAGTGGTATAGAGTTGACACTAGAGCTTTTCCATGGGGACAAAAGGGTCTCCAAGTGTCTGCCTACTCATAATGCATATTGGTTGACAAGTGTGGGTGACAACTGTGGGTGAGCCATCTCAAGTAAAGACCTGACTCATTTCCACAGCACCAATAGCCACCACCTTCCATAAGCCGAAGCTGCTGAAGCCTCAGAGGAAAGTCACGCTGGTGAGTAGCCTTTCTTTATTACGTTTGCACTCTCAAGCCTTAAGCTCACTTCAGGATTCAAAACATGAACCTTGTTTTTATCCTAAAGCATTGGCTTTCTTTCATCTTCTCATTTCAGATTAACTTTGGAGTCAGTTTTCCTTCATACTCAACTCTCAGAGTGGCCTTTTTTGTTGTTGTTTATTTAAATCTAAATGGGACTATTATAAATGCTACTTTTAAAATGAAAAATGAGGCAGTTATATTCAAAAATGTATAAAATAGAAAGTGAGCCTGCTTTTATAAATTGGCCTGATAACTACTCTGAAGAGAAAGGGAAGGAACTTTTCAGAAACTTTTTGGCTTTTTATTTTGAAAGAAATTAAAATTGACAAAAGAGTTGTAAAGATAGTTTACCTACAGCCAGCTTTCCCTATGCCAACATCTTCTTCCAGGATCATGGTACATAAGAAATTAACATGGAAGCATTCTACTACTGTTGACATTCGTCTTCATGTGTCATCAGATTTTACACTCAGGGTCTTCTGCTCCGTGATCCATACGCCATCCAGTTGTCAGGTCTCCTTACTGCCCTGCTGTCTGGGACATTTCCTTTTCTTTCATAGCCTTGACACTTTTCAAGGGACGAATTTTGTTAGGAGACCTCTTAATTTGGATTTCACTGAGGTGTTCTTGCCACAAGATTAGAATTAAGTGTATGGATTTGGGGAAAGAGCCATATTGAGGTGATAATTCCCTTTTTATTGTATTATATGTGGGCACATAAAATTAATATATCTTATTAACAGTCATGATAATATTGCTCACATGGTAAAAGTGGTATCTGCCAGGTTTCCTTACTGTACAGTTATCTGTTTCCATTTCCCCAAGTTGTTTGTTAGAAGCAAGTCACTAAACCCAGGCACACTTACAAAAAGGAGAATTAATTTAAGCTCTACATCTTGAAGAGAGGAGTATCAAAGAATTTGTGGATACGTGTTAAAACCACCACAGTAATTAATATCTTAAGGGGATACTTTATGGTTATGCAAATATCCTATTTCTCCAAATTTTTGGCCTTTAATTTTCACACCCACCAATGTACCAATTATTACTGTGTTATGTTGCTGTTGTTAGTGCCATTGAGTCGATTCCAACTCATAGCGACCCTGCAAGGGTTTCTGAGGAGCAACTGGTAGGCTTGAACCACCAACCTTGTAGTTAGCCATCCAGTGCTTATCCTCTAGCACCACATCAGACCCCTTACTGTGGTGTGGTTAAGGTATTGGTATGTGCCGTGGAGTCAGTTCCGACTCATAACAATTCTGCATGCCTTCTGAGGCTGCAAATCTTTATGGGAGCAGAAAGCCTCATCTTTCTCTTGCGCAACCTCTGAAAGTTTTGAACTGCTGACCTTGAGGTTAGCAGCCTGACTCCTAACCACTGTGCTACAAGAGCTTCTTTACTGTGGTGTACTAATGGTGAATTTTCCTTATTCATTCTGTACTCACTTTGGATTTTGCTGTAAGAAAGAACTACTGCTTTTCTCCATTCATAAATTAACTAATTTAAATTTTTTTTAGTTACAATCTAATTGTTTTGTGATTGATTTTGTTGCTCATATTTATTATATGTATGAGAAAGAGAGAAAGTAAGGAGCTGGCAAATCTGTTTTAAAATGTGCACATGTATTTCAAAGTGTCAAGATCATACTGAAGGAAAAGAGCAAATTAAAGGATTTACATACAGATTCCCACGATTTATATGACTGCTACAGTAATTGACACCACTGTTACCTGTTTGTCATACTGTAGTGCTATTAGCTCGAGCTCTGGTATTTACAATGCCAGCAGAGCCACCCTTGGTGAGCACATTTCAGCAGAGCTTATACAAGACAGCGTATTAGGAAGAAATGAAAACCTTATGGATCACAACAGGATACAGTGCTGGAAGATGAGCCCCAAGGTTGGATGATAGCTTGAAATACAGCACGACCACAACAATGCACTTGATCATATCAGTGGCCATGAAGATGGTACGGGATCAGGCAGCATTTCCTTCTGTTCTATAATGTCACCATACAGCGATGAACAATAGCATCAATTAGTACAGTATGAGGTTGGCACTATAATAGACAAATAGACCAGAGGAACAGATCTGAGAGCCCCAAACAGATCAGTATATATATATAT